AAATAATACTATCTTTACTTAAGGAAGGAGGAAAACTTCTTTCCCAGCAGCTCTGCAAGCCGCTGGATAAAATTCAGAATATGCGGAATAATACGGAATATTGCCTGAAATTGATTTGAATTCGGTTGGCGCGCTACCGTAGACGACTCACACAGCAATCTTTAATTGCACTTCATCATACACACAACCCAAATATTGATAGGCGACTTATCTATTAACTTAGGCAGGGTTTCATACAGCAAGATAAACTTCGCAGTTAATTACTTGCAAGATACACTTCCAAATCTATTAGCGCCGGGAAAACATTGTTCCTCGTTGTCTTACGCGTAACTCGCTCATGAACGGGCGAATACCTGCCACATGCTTACGAGACGTCGGTATGCGGTCCAGTTATTCATCGAGTGCGCGCGCGCGCGCGCGCGCGCGACGAGTTAATTAAGACGAGTTTATAACGACGACGACTGACATTCCATCGAAACACGCGTTAAGTTTCGCGCAGCCCCGCATTCGTATTCTCGAGTTCTCCGTGTGCTCGGCTCATACGCGCGCCGAAGTCGGTCGTGAGAATGTTCGCCGTCGCGAGAATCGCGATGTTCCGAGCAAACGGATAAGGGAACGCTCGATATCCCGGCTGTAAATGAGGGCACGAATTTACGGGGAGCGCTCGTACGCGCCAGCAAACGCAGGCGGAATAAATAAATCTCCCGCGAAATCTTCCTGCACCGAGGTAATATTATCGGCGGAGAAGGCGATGTTGTATAGCGAATCATCCCGCGGGCTGCCGAGGAACACAATCGCGCCGAGCGTCCACATGGGCGCACGAACGATTCTCGTTAACGGAGAACGGATTTCAGGCAGAGAGGCAGAAACTACCAATTACGATACGTCGCATCATCTTGCCCGTGGAGAATTGGACGGGGTACAATCGTCGCATACGAATGAGCGCGATCGTCGCGGGATAAGTCGTTAGCGACTTGCTTCCTCTCCCTTTCTCTCACTCGCACTCCTCTCACTCCTCTCTCTCTCTCTCTCTCTCTCTCTCTTGCCCCTTTCTCTCGCTCTTCCCGAGACGGCCGTATGTACCCTTCATTAGTATGGTGTAAACGAGCTCTCGTTGCCGACGTACGTAAGCCGACCACAAACGAGAGAATGCGCGCCCACGTGTCTATGGGCCAACAGTGGCGGCCCGGTCCACTCTGCCGCGCTGCCACGGCGTAATCAGGTTTATCTCGTGGTTGCACACAGAGGGACAAGTACCAGTTCGTGACAAGCCTCGCGCGTTATGTCCTTCAGGAATGTCGAGCACGTGCCGGCTCCTCTGGGATGATCATAATCGTCTTGTAGACGCGCCGAAATTAAATGTAATTGTCGGCTCGCGCGCGCAACTTCCACGCGGATAATCGCGTCCTGCGGAAACAATCCTCGCCTTCCTCCCCACCTCCTATGCTCGATCACCGCCGTGACCGGCGATTATCGTCGAGCTGTCGCAACCGAAGAACGTGCAAACGACGGGGACGACGGCGACGACGACGACGACGACGACGACGACGACGACGACGACGACAAGAGTATAGAAATTATATTCGATATTCACAGGGAATTTGGATCGCGGTGATAACGTGGCCGAGTAGAACGTTCAACGAGAGCGTACACTTTCCGACCTCGCGACCCCCGCGACCCTCACGCGGCGAGCAAAGTTCCGAAGTTTTCGCGCGCGCGCACGGAATATTTAGAATGTAATTATGGCCGGGTAGTCGCCCTTGCGTTGACAGGTGCTTCGTAACAACTCGAGATAATGAAGTTTCCGTCGTGGGAACAAAGGGACGGGATCCAGTCTGTGGTGTCTTCCGTGTTCTACTGGCTAGGAATGTGAAGTTCCTGTGCCAAATGCGGCGACAGATACACGAGCGCGCACGCGCGCGCGCGAATACGCCGCCGCCGCTCCGGGAAACGTCCCGCGGATTTGCATTGAGACTCGTTTCTTAAATAGGCGCTTGTTCAACAGGCTGATATAACCGTCGGCAGTTTATTTTCTCCGAGGAGGGGCGGAGGGGAGAGGGTTCGTCGTGCAAACTCGGCGTATTTACGCGAAATTCGCCGTCTTCGCGACTCGTATTTATCCTGTGCAATATTTAAATGTCCGCCATTGTATGCTATTCCGAAGAAATATCACGCGCACACCAGCACCCATTTTCCAATTCGAATCGAGATTCACATTTGTCGCGTTTCTCGCGGATATACTTGCGTCTAGGTAAACGTGAAAATTACACGTTGATATTTGCCTGTGATTTAGTCAGACTACACGATAATTTCGGTAATCTTATAGAGAAGATTATACCTTTCGATTTTCTTTTCTTTTTTTTACTTTAAGGTATGCAGAGGATATTTGATAAAGGATGAAATTTCAAGACGTTTGTATTTTAAACTATATCGAAGTCGTAAGATATAACTCGTAAAATATCACTGCAAAAATGACTGCAGTCCTTATTAGGAATTATTAAGAATCGCTGTCAGTTTAAGCATATCATTGACAATGTTCTTATTAATTTGCTTTTTTCATATTTGTCACATGACCTAATTTTCGTGAGAGAATATCTCTTTCAAAGTTTACGTTTTACTAAATTGATAAGTTTATCATGTATTAAAATAACAAGATCCAGGAAAAACTAATAAGGGTCTCTACTAAAAGTTTGAATTTAGGTTTAGCGCAACGAAATCTATAAAGAAATATTTTAACGACAAATCGATTAAGCCCAAGCCTTGTAGGATCTGTTGTTTCAGTAGATGATAGACTCATCAATTTGACAAGGCTGAAGGATATTCGAATATTTTCGACCAGTGTCTCTAACAAGCTTGTAAGCTTGATTTACGATAACAAAGTTATCCGAGAGATATTCAGCGTTATTTAAGAAAAAAATTATCGAGAACACGGAACACGAGAACACGGAAATGCATTTTCCTATTTAGCGCATCGTTGACACTCTTGCAATGTTTTTATTTATATTTATGGAACGCCGAAAACTTTTTTACGTTTCGAATGGTAGTCAGCGATTTTATATCACAATATTTCGAATGCATTTATTTCGTTTATATTTGGAGGAGAGGAAAGGACCCGTGCGTATGATTTGCTCGGTATATTAATCATTTTTTCTACAAAAGGCATGTAATCAAATGTATCGAATTTGTATCGAAATGTTGAAGTCTCTTTTCCGCGTTGCTGATTAGTTGTCGTATCGTGCCTTACTTCATTGCACATGCACTGTCGTGCATTTTGACAGTTCGTGATTATTCGTGGTTAAATTTCACGAGATTTTGCAGCTTTCTGAGTACTGAACTGATTGACTTTAAAATTTACTTTTTCGAGCCGTAATTATTTTTTTATTGTACAAATGTTGTGTTCTTTTTAATATAGTATAGAAGCTAAATAGAGCGCGCGCATCTGTAGTGTTCTAGTTAACATATAAATTGCAGTGTCTATATTCGATCTATCTAAACGATGTTTGCATCTATGATAGCTTCGGGCGACAGGATTGCGCGGAGATACCGAGCGGTGATTTAAAGCAGCTAAAAAAGCGGCTACGCAACAGGCTGTCTGATTCGAGAGATTTCCCACGTCCGTAAGCCTCGCCGTCCTCTCGGACATTGTTCGCTCGGACGTTATTATCCGAGCATGTTACGTAACCCGTTACGATTCCCGACGGTCACGTAATCGCGCCTTTATTTCGAGTGGCGGCACAAAGGAGTTGAATTTCTAGTGGTCGATGGTCTCTCCGGCGTGCCTCAATGTCTGCGGAATGCCGAGTCCGTGCCAAATGCTGACGTGCATCCTTCAACACGTGGTGCAAATACTTCGGAAAGGTGCGATCGTCGATTGCCGACCGAAGTATTCAACCAATGTTATACGCTACCGTACGGCACTTTAATAGCGCAGGCTGCAGTTTAATTAGAATCGAAAATCGTAATTGCGAGACGTCGAGGTCACAATAGCTTCCGAGTTACGAGCTAGCAAAGTTGACTGGTGACGTAGAGCTGATTTCGCTACTTTCAATCTGTGACCGCGTAAACACCGCGTGCCGATCTACTGCTCTTATCGATTTTCGCGAATCAGCTGATCTCCCCCCATTCAGCTGATTTTATCTTTTGCTTTCTTTATAGATCTTTACCCCGCACCCTTTATCTTTCCTTGTATCTTTTATTTTACATCTTATATCTTTTCACTTTATATGCACGTGAAGAAAGAACGACTACATATGATTATTGAGAATATTTGACTATATATAATTATGTAGAAATTACTTGGTTCTATATAGCTATATGTACGATAGTTATATGTAATTAGACGTCCTCACATACACACGGAAAAAATATTGCTGTACTAATACAGTTGAAATAACTGCTTATGTTGTGGCAGTCTGCGACATAGATGCTTAATTGAATGAAACGGTTTTTTTCTTTTCCTCATCTAACAACGGTTTTTGTAGTTTTTTTTTGTGCAAATAATTGGCGGCAGATTGATATACGTGCGCGCGTAGTTAAAGATTTGAGAGAGCATAATTCAATTGTCTTTCTCTATTAAAATTCTAGACTCCGATTAAGCTTCAAAATATGTCATTAAAATGTTGTATCCTCGACAGACTTGTACGGACAGTGAAATTACTCGCGCGTTCATGATCTTAAGCCGACATTCGCAACTCAAATGTCATTATCATCCAACACATATAGTCGCAGTTTTATGAAACTCTAATTATTTGTTTACCTTATTTTAGACTAGAGTAAATGTTGATTCAAACAGTCACGTTACGGTCGGTGAATACAAAGCTGTAATTGGTTACTCTCTCGATCGAAGATCGTAAATAATTTGCGATTATGAATACTAGATTTAAACGATGTTATGGACTGCTCTTGCTCTTTCCTTCCTCGAGGATCAATACAATTTATGATTAAGCATGCGCTATATATAGAGTGCGACACTCTGTGAGCGTTGAATTTTCAACACTCACCCCGTTTCGCGCTGAAATCCATCGCCGTCCATTGACGTCCAGAAGTTCACTCAGGTCCAAGCTGATTCACGGACAAAACTCGCTTCTGCATCCCAAACGAACTGCGACGTTTCGTGTCCAAAAGTTCGCAGCGGCCAACCTTCATCCTGTGTCGTCCTACGTTGATTGCACTTCATCTCCCTTCACATCGTCACGATTAGTAGCCACGTTTCGGCGGCGTTTAATTAATTAACGGCCGTATTAATGAAAACTTTGTTTAACTCGGAGAACGAGTTCAATTAACGAGAGACGAAAGCAGAATGCACGGGTTAGTTTAATGAATCTCTATCGTTAAATTCGATAAATTCGCACTGCAGTTCTGAAACACGTGATGAATAATCCAACGCTCCAGGAACGTAATCGCCACTCGCGAGTCGCGTATAAAAAAGTCACAGACCGGAAACGGACATTTAGAAAGTACCAATGGTCGCTACGATCGCGAGGGAAACCTATCAACGCGAGGGAAATAATTGTGAAGTTGCGTGCGCGGCGACGCAATTCCGAACGTGTCATTGGACTCTGCTCGGAATAATTAGAACATTATATCGAAAAAACAGTTTTCTCGTGCATGGTTCTACACGTTGAATCCTAAACCAGCACACTAGAACACAATAGTTAAAATATTATGTACGCGTTTATATATCCGTATTAAAAATTATTTATATTAATCAAGATATTTATTACATGATACGTATAAACGCTTAAAAAAGTGATTTTTTAATTATCTTGAGCAGTGATATTTTGCTTAACGACACATATACACATACACATACATATGCACAAATCCATGTACTAAAATCTACGAGTAATGTAAGCCGCATTAACTTGAAAGAAATTTTGTGAAGATCTACCATCTTAAATTTTCATGTTTACCTTTTTCTTAATTATCCACTTAGAGTTTGAACTGGGAGTCAACCACATTCCGCTACGAGATCTAAAGAAAGCGAAAAACGAAGAAGAAACATATTATACAGTTAGTTAAATTCAAAGATTCAACTCAACGTAGCAATATCTACGCATAGAGATATGAAAATACCGATTCTCTGCGGTTGTAACTCGGATCATTCTGTTACGTCTCGGCTTTCGACAGCAAAGGGTTACGAAGTGAAATATATGAGTTTATGAAGCTACTTTCGAGTCAACTCTGCTCGACCTGAACCAAATCCTCCGGTGCGGCATTCACTTCCACTGGAACTTTGTCTGCCTTCCTGATGCGACCGCAAGCTCCGACAAATCTGAAACAAAATACGATTTTCCTAATTAGCTACGGCGATAAAGGGGTTGTTTAATCTCGAGGAATTAAGAATACGAGGGTATTTAACTTCCTGTTAGGGACTGTCCTTAATAATACTAATACAGCAATGCGTCTGATACATTTTATAATTATTATTTTAGCAAAGCATCTAAAAGCGTTTTCTTTCATTTACCGACTTTGTTTTAAAAAATAGCACGTAAAGTTTTCCATGCAGTAAAGTTTTCAATAAAAAAGAAAGAATTTGCATGATAACAGCAATATGCAAAAATTTTATGCCTATCAGGTCATAAAGCTCGATAGAAAATTAATATATACATAAACATTATCTTCAATATTAATTTGCATTTCCTCATCGCAGATTAAAAAAATTTCGTGCGGTTTTCCCAAACCCATCTGCAAAATATTGAGATCTATTTCCTTCTCAAGTACGTTTAATAACCTCTCCAAATTTTTTTCGTTCTATGAAGCAACCATCTATCTGCTCTCTTTATATATCCTTTTAGTAATCTTTATATATCCTTATATATCCTTATATATATTCTTTATATATAAGTCTATATATATTCTTTATATATAAGTCTATATATATATCTTTATATATCCTTATATATATCGTAATATTCTCGATATTATTCTTTTATTATATATTGTTTCTGTATTATTTAGATAAAGCTATTTGTTAATGCCGCGTTCTTTGCTCGGATAAAGCCGTCGGATAAGACCGTAAATAAATAAATAATAATATAGATAATAAAGTTACATAAATAAATAAATAAATAAATACATATAAATATGAAAGATGCGAGATTCTGCTTTCTCTCTGTATGTTTTTCTCTTGAATACAATAAAAATGAGGATGCAGTAGTCACCCTTGAAATATCAGAATGCTCCATCGTGCTTCCCGAAGATCCCGGCACGATGATCGCGCGCACGATTCGCCGCAATTTATTTCGCACACGTTCCGATCGATTTAGAAAACTCGGAGATAACACGCGACATCGTCCGTTGTGTTCACGTTCGCGTCGAAGGCTGTTGTGATCGTTTGTTCGCCGTATCTCTACGTGTGTTGTTCCGAAGATCGCACAACTTTCAACGGTCTGATCGCACTTAAGAGTACCGTCACGTCATCTGCCTGAGTATCGAGTCCGCTATATATCGTAGTATTATGCACAACTTTAAATTCGGTTAATAAACACGCGTTTCTGATTTCGTTGCGTTAGAATTTCTAACGCTGATTAAACTCCTGAGGGCGCCGTTAAGGTTACCATACGGCAGTTTAGGGACATTTTGTATGTAGATTTTAAGCCGCGGACAGGCAGATATGGATACAAAATCGCGAGCAGGACGAAGTAATCTCCTATATATTTCAGCGACATCGCCTGGAAACGCGTCTGAATACAGATGCCTGCTTAAACAGCTATCGTCGACTAACTGATAAACATTTACGGATTAGTTACACTCTGCTCGGCTCGCGTGTATTATATAACACCCCGGGGCACGGATTATATTTGCCCCGGGGACAAAGACCACTTCACGAGTCATTATTAGATTTGGCAAGTACTCCATACACACCTGGATTGATAAGCGTGACATCGAGGACCCAAATTTGATCCTCGGGTTTATGGCTCCGGGATATTTGAATTAGCAGTTGATTGTATTTGACTCGTCATTGATGCATAATTAATTATTAGGGCTTAATAAATTATATTTGAAATTTCGATTCTTTTCTCGAAGCTTCAAATTTTTGAAGCCTTTATTATATCCGAGTGACGACATTTAAAGAATGTAATTCTTTAAATGTTTGATTACACGAAATTATTTAGAAGAACTAGAAATACATACAATTGAATAAATACAAAATTAATTCTGTTAAGAACTATGATATTTCGAATCTTTGAATAGAATTTGAGATTTCAAGACTTCGAACTTCAATGTCGTTGATTTATATAGCGAAGTGTTATATCAGACAATATTATTTCCAATTGCTGAGTGAAAAAATAACTAAATGAAGTAACTAAGTGTCATCGTGTTTAATAATAATGTAATTGCACTTTTGCAATTTGAATGAAATAATTAATGACAGCATATGTTATTAGCTTATTTCAGGAACACCATGACGTTTCTTTTCCCGAATTTTTTAATTTTTATTTCTTAGTTAAATCTATTTCTTCCGGAAAACTTAATCGTCGCACAAGCACACGTCACTTTCCACTCGTGCAGATTCATAATCATATTTATCCTAATTTGTATATAATTATGTTTATCCTCGCAAGAAAGTTTACCAAGAGAATCAAAGTGTTTTAAAGGTGACTTTGCCGAAGCCACTTCATGTAAATTTTCAGCACACTTCGAACATTAGAGTGCGCGGTAATTTAAATATCCGCGACATTCTCTCCACACATACACGCACACATACACGCGAAACACACATGCGCGCGCGTACACACATGACCCAAAGATCCGCGTTTTTTATCAAACATTTCTAACTCATCGTCTGGAAATTATCCACGTGAAACGGAGACGGGTATTAATAACGAGCGGTACGCATTCGCCTCCCGTTTAATATTTACGAATTGCATGAATAATGAAAAAGTATGGGAAATCTGCCGACCGCTGGCTCCACCGTTGCCCGCCATCCCCGCGGGTGAAGCCGCGTCTGCGCGATAGATAGACCGAAGGTAGACCCGATTAGCGAAGTTTCTCCTCGGGCTCTCGACGTCTTCTTATATACACATACAAGCATAAAATATATTACCCGCGATATTAAAGAACGAGAACGATGACGATGTCGACATCGTCGTCGTCCTCGTCCGCGTCGTCGTTACCGTTGTCGTCAACCAGATCCTCCGCCGGTAAATCTCCATTACCCGAGCCGCGCACTTCAGAGACAGTAAGTCAATATTCCTTTCATATCGTTAATGCGCTAGTGACGGGATTACGTACGTCCGCGCTTATTCATCGGAGATTTGAATCCCCCCTGATCCGCCATCGTCGCCGCCGATCATGCAGCGCCGCGCCGCCTTCTTTCCGCGAACGGTTATTATTTACGCGAAACGAAAGCACCGTCATTTGTTGGGTCTCAACCTCCCTTCCCTCCCCCTCTCACCATGATCCCTCATTTCCACCTTGAGGCGGTATCCCTAATATTGCACAGTTCTATCCCACTCGTTTTCCCAACTCCAGGCCTCGAGCCAGGCCTCTTCTCTCTTTCTCTCTCTTCCTCCTTCCATCTATCTCTTTACACATCTCCTTCAACACCGGAGATCGAACGGCGTGCATAAGTTCGCTATTCCTCCCCTCATACCCCACCGAGTTGGCGAAGTTCTCGCCGGTACAGTGAATCTCTCCTCCCTCCCACTCTCTCTCTCTCTCTCTCTCTCTCTCTCTCTCTCTCTCTCTCTCACTCTCCTGGAGAGTGTACGCGTATTTGCGCAGGTGAAATGCTCTTATAACGCCGAGGAGGAAGCTAGTTCCCGGTGATTGCATTCAATTCGTCGACGACTAGAAAGAAAGTCTGATCGGATTAGAACTCGCTTCCCATCTGCTTCCGAGCGGAGAGGTATGGTTATGCGCGATGCCCCTTTCCTCCTCCTCCTCCTCCATTCCCTGCTCTCCTCTCTGCGCCAGACCTCTCGAGAGGGAGGAAGAGAGAGCTTCTGCGGAATTAAACGCAATGTTCCGTCGCGGAGTCTCATTTAGAATTTTATTGCCCCGCCCCTTCTGTACCGCCGCTGCCATCTGAGCTATGAACTCGAAGGAGCGACAAGTAAGTCGTACGTCCTCCTCGTCAGACCTGCCTTCTTAGGCTGCCTGATTGTATATGCTCTATGTAATTGTCAGGTTGGACGTGCGCGAGTTCGAGAGGAGGACGAGGATCGAGCGAGATCGCGTTGATTCTGATTGACATGTATTAAACGTTGCTTCCGCGCCGATCTAATTCCGCGAGGTGACTCGGCGCGAACAGCTGGAAAGAAGAATGAACGCGTATTACTCGGCGACATCTTGTCTGTTCTGCTGCTCCACCGCTCGCAATAGGAAAGCGAAAAGAGTCAATAAATCGTCGAAAAGAGCCCGGGAAATTTGTTTCCGAGAGACACACTCGTTTCTACCGTTTTCCGGCTTTCCGATTTTGGACTCTAACCCGCGGATGTTTATCATGCAACTATAACTACGTCTCGATTGTTTTAATATAAAAAGAGAAAATTAAAAAGCAACATATTCTTTACATGAAGATATTTTACAAATCAATAACTACTTGTAGAAAGTAAAAATGGAAAGAAAAGATAAAAGAGTATAAAATTAAAGATAAAATAAACAGCATTGTTATGAAGATATACAATTAAAGACTGGAGGAGGAAAAATATTGATTATGTTGAGAAGGGAAATATTTGCAAAATAAGAAACATCGATTGTACCAGTAACATATTTATCTAAATCTACATTCTTTTATTAAAGTAGAATAAACAATTGCTTACGCGAGGAGCTACGATTTTAAGAAAATGCACATTTCTTTATTTGAAAAAAAAAAAAAAAAGAATAGTTTGAACGTACATACCAACATGAGGGAGTATGCTATTAGTACGTATCGAATAAATATCTTTTATTTTTTGAGTGCTTTTTGTCTCAATGTAGAAACTGCTTAGAAACTAAATGATAATCTAGAAACTGACTAGAGCTTCACTGTCTACCTAGTTACTATCAAAACAAGCGTCAACTCTGAACCGACCTAGTCTAAGCAGTAACACTAAGCAAACCCTGCACAGTAGCCAAAATTTCTGACCAGTTACCGTATCACCCTGTATTCCAGCTTGTTTTCTACTTAGATGACACCTTCGCCGAGCATTACGAGCGTACATCCGTCTCACGACCGAAAGTTACCACGCGCGCGTCCGTCACCCCCATTGAATCTCATCGGAAATTTGCATCAATGTGGATACGTAAGCCCCCCTTCTATCGCTCCCTTTCCCATCTCGCCGATCC